AATTTTTTAATTGTTCAATATATATATATATATATATAAAATGTTAAAAAAGAAAAAAATATATATATATATATTGATCTTGAATAATTTTTTAATTGTTGTGGGCCACAAGATAGGCTTTTCCATCTCAAAAGCTTGCTGATCCCTGCTCTAAAAGAAAGCTTTCTCTCTGTTAGCTCACAGTTTAGGAGCTGCAAGGTCCTTGCCCGCTTTCAGTGTCTTGGGTTTTCCATGTGTCTTGTTACCAGTCTTCCCCTCGCTCTAGAAGGTTCCCACAGTAGGACTGTGGGCCCAGAGGACTCCCTTCCTTCCTGCCTCTTCTTTCTTAGTGGTAGGTGGCCCCTCGGATCTCCGGTCACTTGTCTAATCTCTTCCATACCTCAAAAAGATCGATTAAGAGTCCATCTAGTCTTATAGATTGTATCCTGCCTCATTAACACTTTAGAAGTTAGACCTTATATGCTAATCACAAATAGAGCATAATTGCATAATAATAGCCCAGTCAGTTTTTAATAGATTTTCACTGTCCTCTTTTATTAAGCAAAGACCCTTTGTCCTTTAGGAAAGAGACTTTCAATGCGTTCTATAGAGAAACTTTAAATGTGTTCTCTAAATGTGCCACTCAAAGGAAATTATCAGTAAAATTGTAATGAACAATGTTTTAATATACATTATGAAAACTTTTGGCAGTCAGCTCTTCTGAGGAAACATACCTTATTACTATTTTAAAGTGTCATGCACGTCAAGGTTCAAGCAAAGATACACACCACATGTTTATTCTGCTAGTGCAAGAGATTACCGTTTACTTACAAAAAGCAGAGCCCGAATCAGGTCAGCGTCACTTGTGCCACCAGCCCCCCATGATCAGCCAGTCTCCTTTTGTGGTCCATGCAGGACGGCCCCTTCCCCATGCCAGGCACAGGAAGAATAGAGTGGGGCTGACCAGGTGCCATATAGTGCCCATGTAAGTGGTAATTGTTGAATGCCCAGAAGAGATTGGAAAGCTTCTTTGGTAAAGAGAAGGGACGGAGAGAGATTCTTAGCTTTTTTTCTTTTTTAATCAGAGGACGTTCTGAATAGAAAAGGCAGACTATCCTCCTAAAGAAATATATAGGAATTAAAGTACCGAGGTCCAGATGCTAATAGAGACACTAATTATTGCTCTTCGTAGTTGCTACCATGTCAATTTTATTCATAGCAACCCATGTGACAAATTACAAGGCCCTGTGGGGCCTACAGGTTTTTCTAGTCTGTACTAAAGAGAGCAAATCACCTGGTCGCTTGCCCTATGCGGCCACTGAGTGCAATTGCCGAACTTTTGAGGTTCACAACTGAGCGCTTAATTACTCTGCCACCAGAGCTCCCAGATACTGATTATGGATCACAATTGAATGTCCATGGATACATTTCATATCTTTGTCCTATAGAAGACATGTCAATGATTGGTTTATGCAGTAAGTCCCCGTACAATACTTTAGAGTTAGATCTCCTTTGTCTGGATATATTCCAGATAATTAAAGATAGAAAAATATTAGAAAAGGTAACAGGTAATTAATTAATAATACAGGAGGCCTTTTGGGGGAAGATGGCCATGATTGCACAAGGATTTTATTCTATATGGAAAGGAATTATCATAAACAAACTTAAAATCACAGGTAACATAAGACTTCTCATAAGCAAATAAAATGAAGATGAACATTTCACTAGAAAATTGGCAAAGAACATGATTAAGTAATCACAGCGTCAAAATTATAAATAATGAATAAGCATTTATTTTAAGTGTTTAAAAATGTTCTATGTAGTAGCAGTAATAGTAGTAGTAATAAAAACTATCATGCTAGTAATAATAGTTCTGATTTATCGTATGTTTTTATTTTTCTGATTGTGTTAGGAGCTTGGAACAAAATAGCTAGTGGAATCTTTTAAAAGGCAACTGTATTGTTATCATTATTTAATAAATCTGGCAAGTGAGAAAGGAGATTAAGGAACTGACTAAAGTAACAAAGGCATCTAGTGGTTGAAACAAGTTCATAACCCAGACCCTCTGACACAAGAGCTCCCTTGCGAAGAACTCGCTCACATACAACTGCCAGAAGTCTCCCTGAGAGTTAAAGAAAAGCTGATGACTTGCCCAAGATCACCCAGCTTGTAAGTGTTAAAAACGGAGTTACGCTTTAGCAAGAAAAATCACATGAGTAGGAAGAAAGGGAAGTGGGTAATATAACTAAGATGACTACCCAAAGAAATTTCTTTTAATTTTGAAAATTCACTATTTCGTTTCAGAACATTTGAAAGCTACTTCAGAGAAGATGAAGAGGGGACTTACGTTTGTAAAACTGGTTAACCCATGTTCAGGTAAACTTCTTTGTCTCCTCCTGGCCTTTCCTCTCCCGGAGCATTCTTCCTCTGACCTCCCCATCTTTGTGCCTCCTCTTTCTCTCCCTTACGCCAAGAAGGCTAACTGGAACACATTTTAAATGTTGTTATAAGGGTATATGTACTTATTTGACATTGCATCTCCATTCTTTTAGAATTTAACTTTAAATAGCATTTAAAGTTAAAATGGCCTCTTAAGGTGACAAAAACAAGCTGAAGGCATTTTTCATCTTGCAGCTAATTCACTCAACCTAAACATTTTTTAGTTTCTTCTTATAATTTTACTTATAATCAGAACTGTTCATTGATAAGAAATGCTGGCAAAGCAAAAGAATAACAAATTTGATTTCTGTCTTAAAACAGATTTTCTTAAACCAACTTTTTTTCTGAGTAGTTATCCAAGATTACCTTTCATTATATTTAATGTTATATGGGACTAAGTTAGAAAATGTTGCTATGAAATCATAGAATCCTGTATTAAACCAAAATGTCAAACTGTGAAGCTATTGTTTCTCAACTTATCCTCCATGTACATCTAGGCACTTCTGAAGTCAATGTTTTAATTTTCCTAACCAAGAATTCTGTGTACTTTGATTTACACCAATTCAAAACAGCATTTTGGCATCTTCCAAGATTTAAATTTTGTACCTTTTAAATGTTCTTTGAGTTCAGGAAATAAAATGAAACCTGAAGGGGCAAAATCGGGCAGGAGGGTGAATGGGACAGATTCATCATTAAATAGTCACAAGGCGGCCCTTGTTACCCTTGGAAAATGAGCAGGTGCATTATGGTTCTCCTTTAATTTTCTTGAAACTTCTTCACAATGAGCCCCGTGATTGTCCTGTGTCCTTCAAAAACCATATCAAAATTACCTCTTTGAAATCCTACGAAACCATCACCACAGTTCTCTGAGCTCACCCTACAACCTTGAATGTCATGGGCTGAGTAGCTCCTCTCGGAGCAACTGTTTTGGCTGAGCTTTTTTTCTTAATGCGCCCTAACAAAACTAAGATAATATATTACTGAGGAAATGTCTGTCTTTGTTCGGAATAAGCCTAGGCATATATGAATAGAACCCTAGCAGTAATACTTTTTGACTTATTCCCTTTAAATAAAATAAACAACCAAATGTTTCTTTTTAAAAGGTTTTTACTTGATGTATCAAAATTTTGAGTTGTTTCATTTCTAGCCACTCTTCGCTTTTTCATTATGACTAGTATTTTTTTCCTTGTGTGTTTTTTTTCTATAATATTTCCTATAAAAGGGATTTTTGTTTTGTTTTTAAGATCATTTTATTGGGGGCTCTTACAGTTCTTATAACAATCTATACATCAATTGTATCAAGCATATTTATACATATGTTGCCATCATCACTTTCTAAACGTTACCTTTCTATTAAGGGATGTTTATTTTATTAGAAATCATTTTGTTTATTTCATATGCAGTATATATTCTGTTTTGTCTTTTATTTTTTGTTCCATTGCCATTAAGTTGATGCTGACTCTTACTGACCCTATAAGACAGTAGAACTACCCCAGTGAGTTTCCGACACTGTCCCTCTTTGAGTTGAAAGCCCTGTCTTTCTCCCAAGGAGGCTCATAGTTTCGAACTGCTGACCTTGTGGATCGCAGCCACGAGTAGCCACTATGCCACCAAGTCGCCTTCATTTTTTGTTCAGACAAAATATAATTACATAGCAAATTGATAATATTTGTGTGTGCTTGGTAAATACTTGATGATTTATTGAGTCAGCATTTTCCTCGTAAGTGTAATGTTGACTAGTGAAAGTACATAAAAACCAATGGGAAGAGACGCTCATTGTAGAAGAAACATACAAGGAGTGAGAGAAGGAACATCTTGACACCCTCCAGTATTCTTTTCCTAAAATGAGAATGAATATCATTGTTGGCTATTTGGGACACCTTGACCCTTGCATAATATTAAATCGAGGTGAGAAATCTGTGGGATCTTCAAAAAGTGTGTGGAAAATGGAACTAAAAGTTAGAAATAAAAAATGTAAAAGTTATTTCTCAATATAAACACTAAGAAGGCCAAGATACCTTTGTGGTTATACCAGCTATGACTAGAGAACTAAGGGTCATGGGAATTTAACTGTGTTAACACGGTCTTTTGCCTTCATTAATTGAAGAGAAATGGGTGCCTTTAAAGATATTTTAAGATTAGGAAGCAGAAAGAAGTCAGAAAAAACTAAACCAGGACGTAAGTTGGAATGCCTAATGCGTTTCCATTCAAAACTCTTACAAAAGTGCCCTCGTTTGATGAGACAACTGAGAGGAACTTTGTCCGGATAGAGACAGACTGGTGAGGTTTTCTTCAGTATTTTTCTGCTAAAGCGTTGCCTCACTTCTCAAAACACTCTCATAATCAGCAGACGGTTATCGTTTCGCCCTCCAGAAATCAACAAGCATTTCCAAAACTGTGACCCTGGGCTTGCCCTTGATCAGTATGCTTCTGCTTTGACTGGAGCACTCCCACATCTTGGGAGCCATTGTATCTTTAGGATCCTTTTGAAAAAGCCATGTTTCTTTCATCTTTTGTTACAGTTCTTCCAAGAATTACATCAGGATCTTAATCCTACTTGTTTAAATTTTCTGTGGAAAGGTCTGGTACTGTCTGCAGTTGATCTGCGTGCAACGATTTTGCCACTTGCTTAGCAAAAAGTTTGCTCGACTTTTCTTTTTCACTCAGAATGTTGTAAACTAAGCCAGTTAAAGTGTCTCTGAGGCTGGCTATTATTTCTGCCATTAATTACCTGGCTTTTTCAATGAGGGCACAACCAAATTTCATTTTTTCCTTTACAAATTGATGTGCATTGTCTTTGGGCTATTGTCTCCATAAATGCTTTTTTTAAAGCATTACTAATTTCATTATTCTTCCAGCCAAGCTTCATTGTGGGTAGAAGGAGGGATCCCCCACAAATCATCACAGGTCCGGTAGCGCAATTGTACAGCGATCATAAGTAAAGATTATAGTAAAGTCATAGAGAGCATGAAAGGTAGAGGAGAGATTGGAATAATGGAGTCAGACACAATTCATGCTCACCTCAGCCCCGCTTGGTGGTCCTCGTGGGGGAGCCTGGCCAGGAGAGCAGGAGAGAGCCTCCGGGGGCGAGAGCAGGAGAGCCCAACTTTATTGCTAACCAAGGGCTATATCTCATCAGGGGGACATGATTACATGCTTACACGTCACAGGAAGGGGCAGTACAATAGGCATGCACATTGCAGGAAGGGGATCTATGATAGGCATAAGCGTAACAGGAAGGGATGAGCTGGGGGTGTGCCCATAGGAATGGGAAGGTCTAGGGGAACACATGTGACAAGATGGGCAGACCCTAGATTCATGATGGCAGCCTAACCTTGGTCATCCTTGGGCGGGTTTGACCTCTCTGGGGTCTCCTACAAGGAAACAGACAACTACTATCCTTATCAGAAGGGAGTGGGCCCTACTTATTGTGGGATAGACAGTGGTGTCTGCTTGGTCTAGATGGCTGATAGCTCTTGGGGAGAATGACCCCTGATCTACACCTGATGACCTCCAAGTGCATAGTCATTCGCAAGCAGCTAAGTTTGGCATCTATTTGGGGGAGACAACTTGGGAGAAATCCTTCTGTTTCCCACACTTCATCATAAATCTGATGCTTGTTTTGCTTCAGTTTGTTTCATTCATGTTGCGCTGACTGAGGTGCTTTTCACACCGATGTCTTATTCTTTTGAGTGTCTCAAACTAGATCCTGTTCAGACATGTTATAATCGGTTAATATGGTTTATTCGGGTGTTAAGAAATTTGACACCCATGTATATTTCTTAATATGCATATTCCGTGAACTTTTTGCAGATTCTCGTAGTTCTTCAAAAGAAGTTTTATTTAGCAGGAAAGCTTTTTAAACATTTAACAAAATTCCAGATTAAAAAGAAATGTCAGTCCTGTTCTAAAATTCTTGTTTTGCCTCAATGTCCATAGACAACAGAGGAGCACATGTTTTTACTTGCTCCCATGGAAAACTAAAAGCTACCTGAAACTTTACTGTATGTTCTGTCTTTCAAATCTTTCCTATGGGACGTAGGTTTAGTTTGTTTTCTTTTGGTCAGGTGCATTGAATCAGTTCCGACTCATAGGCGCCTTATGTGTAATAGTACAGAACAGTGCCCTGTCCTGCACCAGCTTCATGATTACTATTTTTGAGCTCATTTTTGCAACTACCATGACAGTCCATCTTGTGGAGGATTGTCTTCTTTTTTTCCAATATGTCCTTCTCAGGAATGAGTCCCTCCTGGTGACTTGTCTAAAGTCTGTGACACAAAGTACTGGACTGGCTAGAACTCTCTTGGGACTGGACTCAGGCAACATGTCCCTGGAGTACCAGGGAAGCAAGGTAGCCCTGGAAGAATGAAGGGAAAATTAACACAGGAGCGTGTGAACTTCATCTTTCTGTGGACCCATCTTTCTGGCTCACACCCAGAGCAGAGTCATTTAAAAGAGAATGTGGGATGGCCACCGGAGAACACGCTTGGGAAGATCTTCTCAGCAAATACCAGAAAAGTTCCAACAGGAGGGAATCCTCAGGTCCCTGGAATCTAGAGAAACAACATAAAAACTAAGTATACCACCGTTTTCTTTCTTCAAATCAAGAATAAGAAATTTCAGCCAATTTTGTGTGTTTCTGACTCCCCTTCACCATTGACAGTGGTCTGAGCCACCTCAGAGCACTCCCCCTGCATGAACTGGATGTTTCCCAGGTGAGGTAGTTAGTTTATTGTGCCAACCTGGCCGATAAGCACGTGTGGAGTTGATAGAAGGGCAGAGGGATAAATGGCTCCATAAACCTTGCCTTTCTAGTTCTTGGGTCTCTTGCTTTCTGATGGTCAGACCAGGGTGCAGCTGCCTTAGCCAGTTCCCTGCTTCAGCCGGCAAGGCTCACTTTCTGCAAGACATCCCCAAGGAGAAGCCACGTGGACCTA